ACAGTTTTAAATAGCAACTTAGCTCTACTTTAGATAGCCGTTATTTGGACACCCCTTTATTATACATTGATATCCCATCCTTACTACATTGACACCCTTTCTAAAAGTGGAAGGAGACTAACCTAAAGGGGTAGTCGAATTCAGTATACCTTACCTAGCCGGGCCCCTTCCGGACACTGTTAGTATAGTATCAAGATTTTATGATAAATTTGAATACTTCTGCTCAAATTTATGGCGGTAATTCAGATTCGTGCTCAGATACGGCGTCAGACTGTCAGATACGGCTTAAATTCGTGTTCAGTCAAATACGGCCTTAAATTCACCTAGTATCTTTGCAATAGTATACCTGAGTTTAGCTATACTAGCGTTTAGATTTTACTGCTATAAGATATTAGTTTTGCACGCTATTTGCAACGAAAAGTTCGACTACCGCTTTGGGTTATACCCCTTCCCTTTTTTAGTGGGGTGTCAATGTACCGTAGTAAGGAGGGGTCGTGAAAACGACAGCCCCTAGAAATTTGACACTACAGTAGTTCATCTAATCGAGATCGTCCCAGCCGAAAGCTCTAGCCCAGGATAATGCAACAACTATTCCACATGAGGGTAGACCCCACATCGCTCCTGTAAGACTACGACTTTGTTCCAACCTCCCTTCTCCTTCGCTTCTTTTATCCTTCAATTGTTGTTCTCATCAAAGTAGGCTCCTGTTCATCAACGCCTTACCCGTCACCGCCCCTCGAATCATCAATAGCTTATGTTCTAGAGGAGTTTCATGCTAGGTAGCGACTCGTGTCCCCTGTCGCGATAGGAGGACTCGTAGTTCAACGTCGCCATGATCCGTCCTAGCTGCGAGGTCCGAATCGACTCCTACATCTCTCTCAACCAATAAGTCCCCTGTTATGAAGTGAAAGCGTTCAATTTCGAGGTGGACTCACGTCGTGTAGCATTCTTCCGGTGTTCGCGCCAGGCGGCCAAGCGCCTACGAGAATTGAAATAGTCGAGAGAACCGCAGTCAGTATGCCGAATATGATATTCGTGCTATTATCGTTGCTAGAGAGAGACCGAAGAGAGAGGGTTTTCATATCGAACAAGGCTGAGGCGAGGCTTCAGTTTATTATGTGTGTTTGTGTGTGTTCCGTCTCCTATAGTAGTAAAGAAGTCTAAGAGAAATGAATGACGAAGTAGAAGGGCTTGTCATTATTGCTGTGATGGGTTTGGAGAAGTATTTAAGTAACCATAGTTTAGTAAAAGTAACTTAAGAGTAGAAGAAAGGTAGGGTAGAAAAGAGACATTAAAATTTTCACTTTGGGGTATTAGGCAGTGCAAAATGTACCTTAGGGTAGGTTCTCCCAAAGAACTGCACAGGCAGACAGCCGCGCGTCACAGGTTCCCAGGGTAGGCCCAGTGTGAACGATAAGGGCCTGTTTGGTTGCAAATATGATGCTCTATTTGAGCTCCATTTCTATTGTTGAATGGGGCTAAATGGGGACTGTTTGGTTCAAATAGAGGTAACTGTGGCGTAAAATACAATTTCAAAAGTTTAAATGGCAAGCTTAGGATAAATCAGCTTCCATTCCATACAGACCGTACTAAGCGTTTATTATTGGTCCATATCCCCAAAGGAGTTGGGTTCTTTATCCATTTTCCATTTTACAAAGGTCCTAAAAGTACCCAAACTCTGACGGAATCTCGTCTGTACTCAATATCACACACGACGTTAAGATCACCGATTTAGAACCGTTATACGCACAGAAATAGTCCATAGCATTTTGTTCTTTGAATATTCGTCAACGAACCCAGACTGGATTGCATCCTTAAGACAATCAAAATCATACGGTGCGTTCGTGATTTATTTCAGACTCCTTGCCCCTCGCTTACACCTTTAGTCTCTGCCCTTCAACCCTTTTGTTAGGCTACCAGCCAAGGTAAGGCTTCACTACAAGAGCTCTGTTCTGATATATACTATTCATGTGGCACATGTTATAGTCTTCCGATTATTCTTGCTTAGACTGAGCCTGTCATCGATTAGTTCTACCAATGTAGATCTCTAGAGAAGTTCCAATCCAATAGATCTGAAAGCCGTTTCAGGTTTTCGAAAAACTTATATATGTGCAATTGGTCAACCTTCCTTCAGATTGGTCAGTCGTAGATCGAACTATCAGGAAAATCATAAGGAGGTCCAAACCCTCAAACTTTTCCGCATAAGAGTCTATCTATTCTATCAATCCGTTACTCCATTTAAGATTCAAGTCCTAGCGAACTGAAAGAGTTCGGAAACTAGAACTGTATATCATTTCACTGAGACCGTCCATGACCGTTATTAGCTGCTGTACAGAATACTAGCATTTATATTTACAGTCACCAGATTCCTCATCGCTTATCCAGTACCACAGGGGTGTCGGTTACTCTTTTAGCAGAAACTCCAGCACTGCATTGTGTCTTGAAGGTAAGATAGCCTTCTCTAGTTCGAAAATAATGGTGCTATATCGGAGAGCAGCAACGTTATGTTTTGTTACACGGTACTCTTGTTTGAGCGTGGATGCCTGTTCGCTTGAAGAAGTTCTTAAAAAATTGTGACCATTTGGTAAATTTGAGACTTTCACAACATTCAAATTCATGAAAGAACTAACCTCACTTTCTACTCTCTAATAAGTATTCGTTTCCCGCAAGACAATGTATACATTGTGTGCATTTACGAGTAGTTTTACAATTCAGCCATCCGTAGTCAAATTTGTGACAGTGTACATTGAAGATAAAACTTATGGGATCTGCTCATCATCAAGACTTCTATGGCTATGGAATTCTCGTTAACAAACCCACGATACGTTCTTTTACCACCGAGGAAAAAATAAACCTGTTAAGGCCACCCAGGACACCGGATGTTCCTTCCTTTATTCGAGTATTAAGGTTTTTGACTAAGGTCCCCCAAAGCTCTTATATAAAGCATTCGTAATTTCCAAAATCTTTCCTTCCCTTTAATTATGACGAACATCCCCAAATACAATATTTTCCTTAAAAACAAGACAAAAAAATCACCAAGTTGAAACAATTATGCAATCACCCACAGCCGCATTTTATCAAGACGGACATAGATTCCTCACACTCGGCTACATACCCTCGGTCATTGAGGATGGTTCAGAATCCTCAACAACAGAAGCCCTGCCTTTCAGATTCTTCTCCCTCCCCTCCGAACCTCGATTCAAGGTTCTGAAACACCCCCTCCCTCACGAAACGCCCACCGACGTAGGATCCGACCACATTTGCACACCTGGAGCGCTGTGGGCCTCTCCGTCTTCCTATCTGGTTAGTTGTTTCTTATCAAATTGGGACCCCAAGGCCTTTCGAGCTCTCATCTGTACGGATCCTGCACTCCGTGCCGACGCTGAAGCGGTACTGTTCGGCTCAAATACATTTAGGTTCCATATGATTAACCTGAGGCCGGGTGCTGGCGACGGGGAGCTGAACAGCCTGAACTTCATTCCCGCTCATCTCGGAAAGAAGCTTAAGAAAGTGGACATCTTCATTGGGGAGAAAGTTTCTGTTAGAGATTTAAATGGTGACTTCACGAGCATCACGAATTCGAATCGCATCAGGAGGATCTGCAAGTGGGCTATCCGTCTGGCCTCGGTATTCGGCGATGGAAGTCTTAATCGCTTGAAGCTAGTTGTGCAGCAGAGTTTATTTCAGATCGACCGATATTAGATATCGTACGCCTGTATTGAATTTTACCCGGGGCGATGTATGACGGCTCTAGAAGCGTTTCAATATGCTCTGGGACTATTAATCAATCTGCGCGTCCCACCTGTGCGCATCGAAGGCCAGATCGATCAAACGTTTGCGAGGAAGCTAGCCGCGGTGGTGATGGGGGAAGCCCCGGAACCGGCTAAACTAGTCTACGAGAAGGAGATATTGGCGAAGAGAAAGCGCGCAGCGTAGAGAAGGGAGAGGTTCGTGAGGACAACCAAGAGAATGATGGATGCAGAGTATGACTGGGATAGCTTGGAGATCTGAGGTCCTAAGCTGGTGTATACTAGTCTAAGGTTATTGCACATGGTAAGCAAGAGTGGAATTGACATATCAGTACATTCACTATATTACAGCCTTTTACGGCCCAGGAGCTTTGGCATATTTTCATATTGGAAGGAGTTCCGGGTGGGCTGTTTGGGTAATTCTGTATGAGCATTAATACGGCGGAAATGATACCCCTGATTTCGATTATAAGGCGTACAGATTTACTTCAATCATGACTTACTAGAATTCAGAATTATCTGATAAAGAATAATACTCCTCGAAGGACACTCAAACTTCTGTGAATTGAAAATCATTTGCGGTATATGTCGAACTTGTAAACGTACCGCATATCGTACTACGGGCGACAGTTCCGGGCTTTTGCTGTACTATTTCGAGCGTCGGTTCTCGATATAATTACACCTGCATACCCACGACCTTTCGATAAATTTTCAAGATTCCGGTCGACCAAGGAAATTCTACACTTTGATCCTGCTGTATTTCCGATTCAAAGAGTTCAATACGATCTGCGTACGGTTAAGCATTTAGAACAGTTTGTGACAAATCGTACAGTCAAATATGTCATGGAAAGAACAGTAACCGCACAGAACTAGTAGATCTGGCCCATTTTCACAATTTCATTTCCCAGATGTCCTGAATTTCCTTCCCAACGTAACGGAGATCAGCCTCCCTCTGCTTTAGGTGGTACGTCATAACCGAAGAAAGCCAATACTGAGGCCATTATATTGACCACCTCATACAAACTGTCAGATAGAACAACAGAAGTATACTCAAGATATGATAAAGCTTGGGCTATGTGTGGTGAGAAATAATCCAGCCCAGGGCAGACGAAGGTGAGGTAGTCACGCTAGACAATTACGGTTAGATTAGAACTAAGCGTTGTGCGTGACTGCAAAAATGTTGACGTAATATGCAATTGACGTTGTGAATATAAGCCAGTATGTCATATCGATCATACTATATTATCACCTGGCACTTTGGCGGAGTGGTTAACGCGCCGGCCTGCTAAGCCGGTTCCTTCGGGAGCGAGAGTTCGAATCTCTCAGGTGTCGTTATATTTTGTCTTTTCGCTTTTTATTCCAATCTTTTTTTTTGTTTTGAATTTGAGTTCCGTGTATTATGATCTCTATTAGTTTTGCTTCCTTCAAACTTCTATTCTCAGACGCTAGACCTACGGTATTGAAAGGTTCTACGAAAATTCCGATCGCAGCCGATGATTGCCGGGGCCTTGAAGAACCCCTCCCTGCCGGTACTCCTTGATGGTACAAGGGAAACATTGTTTGATCAACTTTACGGTAGATTGACGACTGCGGAGAGCTCCCCCCGCAGCTATCCATGTGGGGAATTGGGTAACATGACGTTTCTGATGGCATGGATATGTTTGTTTTCTTCTATTGTCGCGTCTTAACGTAGCCTTTCTTCCCTATAACCTTTCTTATCCTACAATTATATTGATTCCAAGAAACATGTGAGATCATCATACTTCTTTTCAAGTCCAGTAATATATGCTAATGTTATATCAGGGTATATACAGCTTCGTTTGCATTCTTTGAAGCCATCTGGGAAGCCGGGATTACCCACGTAAGGGCTATTGACAGTAGTATATTCAGAGAACCCCTGAGATTGATACCTACTACAGTGCTTCGTTAACCTGGGCTCCGATCACCCTTCGATTATCGAAGCAATTGTCAAAGGGCAGAATGAAAAGAAAGGCCAATTCCCGAAGATTATCACGTGCCCCAATGAGGTATGTTTTCAATTCCTTCGTCGATCATTATCAGATCTAACGACTTCGGATTAGATGGTCGCCCTCTCCATGGCGGATGGATATGCTCGTCTAACCGGACAGCCCCAGTGCGTAGTTGTCCATGTTGATGTCGGTACTCAGGGTCTCGCGGCCGCAGTCCACAATGCTTCTTGTGGGCGGTGTCCCGTCTTGATATTCGCGGGACTTTCGCCATATACCATTGAAGGAGAAATGAGGGGTAGTAGAACAGAGTATATCCATTGGATTCAAGATGTACCGGATCAGAAACAGATTGTGAGCCAGTATTGTAGGTATACGGGAGAGATCAAGAGCGGAAAGAATGTCAAGGTTCGTAATCTTTTTATGCATTTTCCAAAAGAATGCTCGAAAAGCAACATCTGACATTTTGCACTGCAGCAAATGGTCAACCGGGCCTTATCATTTGCTATGTCTGATCCAAAAGGTCCCGTTTATCTCTACGGTGCTAGAGAGTCCATAGAAGAAGATTTGACACCATATTCGCTAAATCAAGCTTTCTGGAACCCGGTGGAACCAACAGCACTTGCCCAACGTGCAGTTGAAATCATTGGTAAAGCTCTCGTTGATGCAGAAGAACCGTTACTCATCACTGGCTACGCTGGGAGAAATCACGCCGCTGTTGGGGAGCTGATCAAGCTTGCTGATACCATAAGGGGCCTTCGGGTGCTAGACACAGGAGGCTCCGATATGTGCTTTCCCGCGGATCATAGAGCGTGGCTAGGTTTGAGATATGGTGTTGAGGACGCAATCAAAACGGCGGATGTGATATTGGTAGTCGACTGCGACGTCCCCTGGATCAACACCCAGTGCCTACCTAAGGAAGACGTCAAGATATACCACATCGATATTGACCCACTGAAGCAGCAAATGCCGGTCTTTTATATCAATGCATTAGCACGGTATCGAGCAGACTGCTACACGGCTATAAATCAACTGCATACTTTCGTTCAGTCGAACGAGTCTCTCAACCAGAAAATCCAAGGCGTCGAATTCGATGAACGGTGGAGAACATTGGGAGAAAGTTACCAAGCTCGTCTAGACACTATCGCTACTCTAGCGAAACCTAGTGAAAATGAACATTATAATGCTTCGTATCTCTGCGCCCAACTACGGAAACATTGTCCCAAGGACACAATCTGGGTTATCGAAGCAGTAACAAATACCGGTTTCGTTGCTGATCAAATTCAAGCCACACTGCCGGGCTCATGGATCAATTGCGGAGGTGGCGGATTAGGATGGAGTGGTGGAGCAGTAAGTCCTCAATCTCCCTTTGCTCACAACTCCTCATCCCCTCCCTCGCACCATCTTTTACCCTCCTCTCTCGATACCTTTAGTAAAACACGTTGTACTCCTCCGTAACCGGACTAACAACCCCCCCAAGGCCCTCGGCATCCGCCTCGCCACCCAAGCCGCCGGCACCCCCCGCTTCATAACCCAAATCGTCGGCGACGGGACCTACCTCTTCTCGATCCCGGGCTCCGTCTACTGGATCTCCGCGCGATACCAGATCCCGATCCTGACGATCGTGCTCAACAATCGCGGCTGGCACGCGCCGCGCCGCAGCCTGCTGCTCGTGCACCCCGACGGCGCCGGCAGCAAAGCCACACCGGAGGAGCTGAACATCAGCTTTGCGCCGACGCCGGACTACGCGGGGATTGCGCGGGCCGCCGGGGGCGGGGACGTGTGGGCCGGCACGGCGGGGACGGTGGAGGAGTTGGAGGGGAGGTTGGCGGAGGCGGTGGCGTGGGTGAGGGAGGGGAGGAGTGCGGTTTTGGATGCGCATTTGGAGGGGCCGGAGGGGAAGTTTGGGGGTGGGAAGGCGGCTTTGGTGGGATAGGGCTGGGGGAAGGCGTCTGATTGAGTTGTATGGAACGAATAGGGATAGGAAATAGTTAAAGAACACGTGGTCCGTCTTATCATGTCAAGTTGTGCATTTTCTATCCACTTGAATAAGGCTCCGGATGGTCAGGCGGTCGAAATATCCCACGTGGTGTGAATAAGCACTAGACTCCCGAACAGTGATTATTGGGTAGGTGGAACAAAATCCGTTGAACGTCTGTACACATCCTTGCTCATTGGTCGAACGAATATGCTGTATACGTACTGTCCCGCCTGATCCCAGAAAGAGAAGTCTCTCAGGGTGTTGATGTACTTCTCGTTGAAGATCTGCACTTATTTCATTGGCCGGAGAGCTATTGTCCCGTACCAGTGAGCGTAGTGTATCGTCTCATTTGTGACAACGAACGAGCTGTGGAATGCCTCTAATTCAGTCCTACTAATTCTGGATTAACAAAAAAGACTCAAAAGTTGTTATCTAAAGCTTACTCCTAAACGCCGCGCTAATATGCGAACCAAGCTCTAAACGCAGTTTTTCTTCCCGATTAACTGTTCACATGGAACCTCCACTCATCCGCCTCCTGAACTATGGCTTCACATCACCTCAGCCATTTCAACACCAGGTAACAAAACAAGAAAAACACGATCACACCAACAAAAAAAATCCATTTATCCTGCCTCGCCCTTCTCTCCACCATCCTAATCGTATCTCCACTGATCCCCAGTGTATTCGCCGCGTTATAAAGCGTCTTCTGTGTCCCCTTCAGCATCTCCCTCTGTTCTCCCAGGTCCCCTAATACCGCACGCCCCCGGTCTAGGTACTCGTCTAGTTGCGCGTTGGTACGGGAGAAGAAGGATTGTTCGCGGAGTGCGTGCGATTCTCGGGTTGCATCTGCTGGGGAAGTCCCAAATACAGACTCGGAACCTGGGCCCTGGCCGAAAGGGGAGGTGTAAGTGGAAGACGGGTTGGGGCGCGAGTATGGATTTTCCGGGGTGGAAGTGTGGTGGGGACGACGGCCGAGGAGTTCAGCGTGTTGTTGAGTGTGTTGCTGGGTTCATCAGGTCTCAGGTCTCATATTGCGTATTTGGAAGGAGAATAGGGGAAGGATAAAGGAGTAATACCCGTGCCTCGGTCTCCTGCTTTAACCGTGAGAAGTGGTCGCGATAATCGGCTAGTTCTGTACGGAAGGTCTTTACGCGCTCTTGCGCTTTTCGTTGCTTTTCGGGAACGAGTTCTTGCTTTGCGAGCTTGTTGTAGTCGTCAATGGTGCGGTTAAAGGAGGTGAGCGAGGCGTTGATTTGGCCTGATGGCGTGTTTATAGACGATTTACATAGTAACGGACGATAGCTGATAGAACTTACCTAGCAGTGCGGGAGAGGAGGTCGAAGATTCTGCGAAGGCATCTAGGTCACGGCGTATGGCGCTTGATTGCCGGAGAGCTGAGTTGAAGAGGACGTTCTAGGTATGTGAGCCAGCAGTTTTGAAATATAGGGGAAGGTAGAATACCATAGTTGCCGAATATCACACCTGGAGTAAGGACGAAAGAGCGAGGGGAAAATTGATCGTATGTTTAATAGTTGTAGCGTAGGGCAGATGTGTACAAGCTCCTCTCAAATTTAGGCTTGATATGGTGAAGAGTTTCAACTGTGTTCTGATTTTCTTATCGATAAATGTCAGCCTTGGCATTGGTTCATGTCCAGGAATTTGAACTCTCCCTTGGACTATTGTTTCTTCTCGTTTTCTATTGCATGAGTTGTTATTATCTTACTACCGCTCTAAAGAGTATTCAAGGATCATAAACATTATATTTGACGGTATACGCATCTCGCTGATCCGGTCTTGCAACATCAGATACCACGCTTCTAGTATACATGCAAGTTTGGACTCGTTCTATCAATTTCGATACACGAAGTTAATATTGACACACTTGAAATTCTCTCGCACCTCCATCAGAACTATTATTTGGCTATCTATGGTGTGTTGATTTCATTCGCAAAAACCGCTATGACGATTCATATCTTTTAACTCAGAAATGTCAGAACCGCTAACGCCATTGCATCCATCCCAATCAGTATGGTCGGCTATATCACAGGAGTAAAATAAGGTGAATGGTTATTGGGAATCAACGCTTCGGGAGTATAGCTCTTTTGTGCCATATCTCAGAGTTCAGTGTCGATACCACCAACAGTCCAATAAGCATATGGTAGACCATTGATGTTGCAAGTATGGAGAAATCCTCGCAAGATGTTAACGGTTTCTGCTCAACCAAAGTGGCTTTCAGATGAGTAGAAAACGCGTCCCGGACTTTGTGAACCAACTTTGGTGTAGAGCTAGTCAGGGGCGCTCTCACCCTTTGCTTAATTTCTGGTTTGTCACTGATGCTAGAAGCCGAACACTCCGCCTCTACGAACCTTGTAATATACTCAGAG